CCAAATCTATTTTACCGCTATCAAAATATATGTCGTTCCATTCCTTCTTGATTAAATTAACTATACATTACTGCCATTGCTAAAGTCTCTAGAACAGTGATTCCCAAACCTTTGTTCTGGGGACCCATATTTTTAGTCGCAAACCTTCGTGACCCAAGTCAGTAGACATTAAATTTGTAAATCACAAAATAAAGGTGGGTTTGACCATTATTGAACATTAATGATGATATTTTATTGTTGACTGAGTGATCGTGTCTCTCTGAACAATTAGTATTACTCAAGTTTTAAACAATGAAAAACAGTATTTGAAGCAGCAATAAAAAGATCCATAAGTCACCTATTTGGACATGTAGCCCATTTCTTTTTCTTTTTCAACATTCAATTGAACCAGCAAAATAGGAACAAAATAGTCAATCAAATAATTAGGAAAAGATTTGAAATTATACAAAACATGTCTTTACTTCCAACATTTCTAATGAGATAGGTGGGCTTGTCTGCCTTTTTGTAGCGTGTTCCAGTCCGGGTGCAGGAGGAGAGTGCAACACGCAGATCAGGCGCAGCATTCAGTCTGTTTCTGTGCTTCTGTGCTGTGTTCATTTTTGTGAGCAGAGAAAATTCCAATTCACACACATATATGTAGTGAAAGGAATAAGCAAAGAAATACTGGCCCTACTGAGGACAGGATATTCCGACCAAATGCTGATCCAGAATGATGATAATATATTCTCGGACTCACTCACTCGCTCATGTGTTAGAACTGTATATTGCAGACCGGATCCGGCCCTCCAAGACCTTTAATGTGGCCCTCTGCTGATTTTCTACAAAAATATTTAAATTATATATTTTTTAAAAATATTGTATTTTCTGCGGTGCTTAGCATAGTAGCGTCTCCAGCGTCTCTGTACGTGGCCCCTCCCACCAGAGCAGCACAAATGAAGACTTGTCTCTTTCCAAACGCTCTTAAAGGACGATCGTTTTGACTGTTGACCGTGACAACCTCATCAGAAAAATGTCCAACATGAGAAAACTGGAGCCGAGTGCAGGATTTTACAACAAAAATTGACTTATTCCTAGTTACATACAATTACAATACATTAAAATACAGTTAAAACGCTGTTGACATAATTTTTTTCTTAAAGTTTCAGGTTGTTCATAATATTATAATATTTTGTAAAAGAAAGAGTTTGTCAATTAAAAAATATTTCTGTAATAGATTTGTGTTTCTCTGCACAAATATTTGAACTTATTGTTATTTTTGGGGTTTATATGACATGAGTTTTCTGATCCAGACACTTTGGGATCAAAGTCGGTTGGATACGACCCCTGGACCAAAATGAGTTTGACACTCCTGATCTAGATGATGGTAACAAAAAGAAAAACTCTTCAGTTACAGTATGTAAAACTGCAACAATATTGCTCAAATAGATTATGGGCATTTTCTAAGACAGCAATTTCCACAATTATTTGTGTGGGATTGGCAATGACATTGGCAATGAGTTTCATAACATACTTACTTAAAGCTGCACTGTGAACATTTTTTGGTGGAGGGTCCATCAAATGCTTTTCTCCATGGAAATGTTATTGTTTTCTGGAATGTTTCACAGTATGGCATTAAGCCTTTATAACTTTATGGAGACCCAAACAGACCAAGTTATAGGTCAGATCTGTGGAGAGGCGACCCTGCTGCCAGTCAGAATGCCTGTTTATTCTAGGTATTTTTGAGCAATAAAACCATGTGTAATTGAGTAAATGTAAGTTAGAGTTGTTTAATGTCACACTGTGGAACATTCCAGGCCAGAGCAACGACATCTTCACAGAAACATGCAGGTGACAGCCCCTCCACCAGAAAAGGTACACAATGCACCTTAAAAGGGATAAAGAAATGATGTGATCTAGATGCGTTCAGAGGTTTAACTGTTGTTCAGTTTGCAGCAGTAGGATTTTCCTGTGAACAGAATAGCAACATGGGCTCTGTGTATCTCCTCGGCCCGCTGTAATCAGAAGGACATCTCCTCTGGCTCTAATACATGTATGTGCCCTCTCCTCCGGTGGCCCTCTGCTGTGCCCCGTCCTGACATGGCTGCTTCCACTCCACTGCGGTCACGAGAGAGAGGCTCATTAATCTTAGCAACACTCTGTCCCACATTCTTCATAATCTCCCTCCTCCTAATTTCCCTTATCGGTCACAGCGACTTTCTTGTGTTGGTGTTTGGAGGGCTCTCTCCAGGCTGTTAGCCAGAGGGTGCAGACAGAGCAGCTATGGTACTGCAGCATCCGTCAGACAGTCCAGGACCACTTTATCATCCCAGGTTCGGCTTTTGTCTGCCAGCAACTGCTCATTCATTTGCAGTGGATAAATTGTGCTGAGGGTATTGATGGGGAGGCTAATGCTTTTAAGTTTGAGATTACAGCCGATTTAATAACGATGTTAGTTATTGCTGCTGGCACTGCAGACTGTCATTTGTCATGCACACTTCCCCCTGTTTGGGAGGTAGAATTTTCTCTCCAGTTTCGGCTTAATCCCTTCCTTTTGCAAAGCGGTTGTGTTGAAAAAGCATTAATCTATTTCATCAGCAACCTTTTGAAAGCAACCGGATGCTGTCAAGACGTGTCCCAGGGCGATCAATGATGACCTATTAAAATCTCAGAGCTCCAAATGTAACTTCAAAAGCCCGCCTCAGTGAATCGAGGAAGGAAAATGTCCCGTAGATTAAGATGCATCACCTCCACAACTTCTTCAGTCTCTTTCTATAACATGTATTATTTGGCTGTGCATTAGAAATTATGTTTAACTTGACTTAATTTAATGCATTACTATGTGATGCTTTATTTTATGGTTTGACTTCATGCAAAAAACATTTTGAACATTGCAGAACATAACTTTAAAGATGGCTGGATTTTCATAGGGCTTTTCCATGACATTGAAGTGCCACTATTCTGGAGGCTAAATACTACTGACATAAAAATAAAAAAAAGACTAGATTTTTATTTGTGTAAATTTTTTATTGTTTGATGAGTTTGCTCCCTCAGCGTATAAACCTTTCCCTAGAAACGTCAAACCAGCAAAATGTGTTATTTAAGTGTATATGGGTTCGGTCAAGTGGTAACAGAGGGAAACAGGGGCAGATTTTTGACATTCAAATGTCTCTTATTCAGAAACTAGAGGGACTATTGAAATAAGTAAAGTATCAGAATGTAGGAAAGAGTTACACTCCAACAGGGTCAAGTTAAACCTGTGATATTCTTTCAAGTTGTTGACAAAACATTTAAAAACTCATGTCGGTAACAGAGGGAATGAAATATGCAGCACTTTTTGGCCAATAAATCCAAACAGTGACAACTAGTGGTTCTCACTTCCATATCCTTAACAAACTGGTTTGAATATTTGCTTCATATAGTTTTCTACCATATGGTACAAGATTAGATTGAAAAACCTCTTACTTTTTGAGTCATGAGATTTTTTTTTATTAAGAAAGGTCATGGTAACGGAGGGAAAAGTAACAGAGGGAAAATTGTGCAAACAAGTAGAAGGTGCAGGATTTTACATCATTTGTCAACTTTTTTCTTCCAAATACTTTAATATTACTTCAAAATGAAAGGAAACTATTTCTATAAAATATGTCAGTCCTTCCAAGCAAATTTCTTTCATTTTAAATACTTTTTTTTTTTTGAAAAATCATGTACCTTCATCAACAGTTCAAAGATGGAATAACACAAGATATGATGAAATACATCCATTTATTGACATGATTTGCAGGTCTTTGAAATTTGGGAAATAATTTTTGTTCCATGTTTCATACATGGTCTGTTTAAAACATATGGAACTTTAGAACCAAAAATGGTACAGAAAAAAGGTCAACAGTTTCATAAACTAGAGTACATATGTATCTGTTCAATACATTTTTATATCAGATGCATTAACTTGAATTTTTGGCCTTGTTGTTTACTTCTGCTTGACCGGGTTCATATCTAAAGAGAACATTGTAACTTCAAAAGGCCATTTTCTCTGCATTTGTCACTCCTTAAAGAATTAATGTACAGAAAAATTGACTCTTATGAGCTTTAAGCCATGTTAGAATGTTCATCAAAAACATACCCAGAGTTGTGTGGGTTTTTTTTTTTTTTTTTTTTTTTTCCACAAATGTTTGAGTAATTCTTTATTATTAGTCTGTGTACACCAAAATGCTCCCTTCCACCTTGTGGTGTCATGTACTTTCTAAGTTAACATCTACCTTTTATCTTTAGTTTAGTAGAAATGGACAATTCCAGGGCTAAAAGCATTAAAATGATATTAAAGAAGGTATATGGAGTTTAAAAACAGTAGAGAATTTCCTGTATTACCACATGATGTCACAAGGTGGAATAGTGTGAGAGTGTTCTCAGTTTGATGGAAGAATACCGCCTAAATATGCAGGGTTTGTGTGTTCAACATTTGTCATGAAACAAAACACAACCCCAGGTATGTTTTAGATGATAATACAGATCAGATAGAAGAGTGTAATATGAGCCCTTTAAAGTAGCACCAGCATACTCCAAACTTTCTAGTCTGGTTCTTAACAAGGTTTTGACGAATTGTACAAAACAATTTGGATTTCTAAGATTAATTTCTTAATGTTTTAAGTCAAAGAAATTATGAATATATATATTAATATTTTGTCAATTTTCACTAAGATTTAGTTTAATCAAATACTAAATTGATAGATATATTTAAGTTCTTTTTTCTATTTATCCTATCCTGTATGCAGTATGTTTCACTATTACAATATATTTGTTCCTTCAGTATATGATTATGATGAAACAATTATTCAGGAAAAAAATAAAAATAAAGAAATAAATGTAAACTCAACTAAAGGCCCAATGCACTTGGTCTGGAAATATAATTCAAAACCTTCTTTCTGTGAGGCAAGATTGCTAACCTCGCTAAATTGATGGTATCCTTTTAGATTTGACTTTTCATAAACGTCGTTCTAACTTCATTTCTCATTACGTTCTCTCTTCAGACCTTGATGCTTTCAAAACCCAGATGGTGCGGAGTGCTGTGAATGTGCGTGAAGGCCAGGGAGTGGTCTTGCTTTGCGGACCACCTGCACACTCCGGAGGTAAGATGTCTACCTTGTGTATAATAAAGGACTTATGTATTCGTATTTGATTGCAATATTTCCTGTTTCTCATGGCAACATCTGATTGTAGAGTACTTCCCACTTCTTACCTAATCAGCTTGTTTCTATTTGCGTCTTTAATAATCACCTTTTGCATTATATATTCCATTCTGAACAAAAAAACACTTTCTCAGTTCTTTCTGTCTATCGTGATTGAAGCCGAGCATTCCTTAAGCTGACGAGCGTTGATAACATAAACACGAAGCTCCATCCATGCAAAATAGATGCTTTGATTTTGCACTGAAGAGGAGATGGAGATGTAGTGTTAGATTTAGTGCTAACAAAAGGCAGTGTGCAGATCGGGCTGCTGTGCATGTCTCAATAGCGCGCTCACAGGGACAACCAATTTTGCTCACAAGAGAAAGGTTTGCTTTGTACAGCCGCTCTATGGGATAATGGGTCAGTGCTGGGTGTGAAATGCAGTTTGACAGCTCTCCCCTTTTACACCGGCTTATACACTGCTGCCTGATGTAACTGGGCTGCTATTGTGATTTGCTATATTTTCAGAGGTGAGGGAAAGTATGATGCGTCAGGTTGAATTTGCCCTGTCTATATTCCTCCCTCAATCTTATCTGGAGTACATTTTGCAAGATATCGGCAGCAGTGTCCGTGTCAAGGCCAATAACATTCAAAGGAAAGGAAACTAAAATGTTGCAAAAGTAATATTTTTAGAGGTCAGCAAAGTGATTTCTAATACTGTGAAACTTTGAAAGAGATACTGAAATCAGACAACAGTACTTTGATCAGAAATGATTTAGAATGGAGTTTTGAAGAATGAATGAGTGCTGTTTGTCATTTGTGAATGGAATTCCAAAGGTATGTGTGTCCAGAAGATATTTTCAATTTATTGATTTAATTAAGTTGGCTCTGTAGTGTTGTCACAATCATAACATTCCAAACTTTTGATACTAAGAAAAATATTCTATACTTACCAATACCATTTTTTGAGACCACAACAATAGAATGTAAAGTTTCTTTAGTATTATCATATGCAGTTATTCCAGTACTCATATACTAGTACATAAATACATGCTAAAACTATTCAGGATAAGATAAATTAAATGAACAAGCCATATAGATCTGTCATTACTATAACATGGTATTGTTCAATATGTGAAAGCTTTGGGAGGCCAGTAATTATCACGTGTACATTTTCTTTGGAGTACTAGGAAGTTTTTAGAAATGTTTTTCACTATGATAAAATTAGTCATAAGTCATAATTTCACTGAGTTGTATTTCATTATATGACTCATTACAGATGTAATCTAACTACTAAAGTGTTTCGTTCTGCTGTTATAAACAATAGCAAATTTGCATTCACTTAGCGATCTAAACTCTAAAAGTCTAACACCCAGTAGAGCCCATATGGCCAAATAACAAAAGCCTCACCTTCACTTTAGTACACTCTCTCTGTTTAATCTCTAAAAGAGAAGCCAGTGTGTTTGTGTGTCAGTGGTTACAGGTGTGGCTGTCTGAACAGGACTGCACAGTGCACAGTGCCATGCATGTCTGCCTCCTGTTCCAGCAGCCTTTGCTGTACTGGAACAATGAGTTTACTTCAGAGAACAGTTTGTCAGTGCTCACAGGTGGGCCTGTCTGGAAGGAACTGTCTGTGTGCTTGTACTTGGCTTAATTAGCTTTTTGGCTTAATTAGTTTGGAGATCTCACTGTGACTTTAGCACATGTGTAAAGGAAATCAACCGCTGCATCAGGTCCATAAGCCGACAAACACCACATTATGTCTAACTTCTTTATTAGAGGCTCAACGATAAAAGACATCTATTTATTGTTATTATGTAAAGTAAATGAAACTGATTTCATCTCTTGCTACCTGCCTTTGGTTAGGGGTTATGTTGTAGGATATTTGTGCTGGAATTAATAACTCAAAAGTATCTTCAAAAAATAAAGGTCAGTTGTTTTCTCTCTGTTTATCAGCCCTGGCATTAGTCCAATACTTCTCATTCCAAACACAAAGATGTCCTCCGATCATTTCTCCCTACAAGATTACCCAGTTGAGACTGTCATTCCGACATTACAGCAGTCTAAAATAGATTGGCATTTTAAACTAATTATCCTTAAATACATTTAACCCAAGAAGGCGTATGTTTCACAGACAGGAGCAAAGGACTTGTAGAGTAAATGCATTAATATTACATTAATAATACAACTGCTAAACTCGTTTTTTATAATCAATAACAGTTGGCACCAACCCTTCAAAACATGTTTCATATAATAAATCCACAGTGTGTCACATTTTAGCCAAAAAACAGACTAAAATAAATGTGTCTGTGTGTTGTGTTTATAGCACTGTGCACACTTTCTCTGAGCAGGCTTGTATCTCCACAAACCTGACTCTTAATCAGCCTGGACGAGAGCCTCTTCCTGCTTGTTTCCATGGACATTTTGTTCCACTTACTATGATCTTTCCAAGAAATCATGCAGGTGACTTGTCACCTCTAAAAAGCACTGTACCTTTAAGCCTGATTCATGCACTTTTAGTATCAGAAAATTGTTAATAAAATGTAGTAAATGTAGTACTAAAATTTGACCGTAATATCACTTATGCCTTTAATATTCTCACCCCTTGGCAGGTTTTGCATTCAGCTTCATATTTAGCAACAACTCAGCAACCTGTCCCTTCTGGTGCCAGTTCTTCTGACTGGAACCACCATGGCGCTGCTACAAACTGAAGGATACTGACAGTAGAGTTGTGATTTAAAAGTCCACACTCAATCTGTTATGATACTGTGAAGAAGAGGTGTCATCTGAGGCAAACCTGAGCGTGAAGCGTGACCACTGACAACAGAGGAGGTGTCAGCTGTCCAGATGGCGCATGTTCCAAATTAAAACAGTATAATTAACGAACAACGCGCTTATTGCTAGTCAAATTATTTTCATGCAATCAGTCACATTTGTAGACAGGCTGTTTCAATGTTATCCAATATCCTTCATTTATCAATAGTCCTTAAATGGTGGCTTGGTTTGCAGAGCATATGTTTATTTTGGGAAACTTGATTATCTTGTATTATATCTTGTTCATGTTATAATCTAATTATCTCTAATAAATACATTTGTCCAGCCCCAGTACAGATATATTATATTAGCAGCTCTTAATGAATCAAGGTCAAAATATGTCAACTGTGTAGTCTGTGCATCTAATTAGAGAACATTTTATTGTCCAATAATCAGGAAGTGCTTGTTAGTATGCTAGTTGTTGCTGTTTTACTCTGCTCTAGTCTCTTAAGAGTCGTGAAAGGCTCAGATTCGTTGCAATGAATAATTAGGATGCTTGAAATGTATAAGGTAATTGAGGAATAACTTAAGACCACTGCAAGCCCTTTAAAATGAACTAGTTATGTTTAAGACAATAAAAAACTGCTCATTTCTGTTCACATGTTTGAATAATAAATGTCTTGGTTTTTTTTGGGGGGGGGGTAATATTTCTGAATGGCTAGAATTGAATTCTCATCTTGAGCACATGTGCTGTCAGAAGGTCTTGTTTTGTTGTACTAGGTAACAATTGCTTGGTTCAGCTCTATTATAGCTCATTTCAGCTGTATAGTTCACATGCTGACGGTGAACTCTGGCTTTTGCTTGGATAATCAGAAGAGATTGTGCATCCATGTAGCTGCACCTGGACCAAGGCCAAGGCCTCCAATGTGATTGGCTGTTGCTATGTGCACCTTTTCACTCCTAGACCATCTACATCTTCACCAGAGCAGCATTCAGAATAGTAGTGTGGCAGTTCTGATCATGACATGACTTACAAAACAGCACAGGCAACAATAGCAACTTTCCTGCTAGTTTCAATGTATATAATAGTTTGACTTTGTTTTATGTGCCACAATACTGAAATTTCAAACTCAATTTCAATACTTGGGAAAAGATTCAGTACTCAATACTGATACCACAATGATAATGAAAACATGTTAAATCATCTGAATGTAATTTTTGACTTAAAAAGTAGTACTTCATTTTATATTTCTGTGTGGCCTTATATGTGTACAATCCCACAGTCGTCCAGGTAGGTTCTGTAGTGGTATAGTATACTAGTCTATGTGATCTTATATTTTTTTGATACAACATAAGATCTAATGTTGTTCTGTAAAGGTTCATTTCTGTCCTGTGAATGTACTCGATGAGTATCTAGTTTTGATACCAGTTTTAATATTAGTTACTATCTGATTTTCAATACTTCTGAAAGCCCTACTTTGCTTTCACAAATAAATTGACTTAGTGTGCCAAATAAAGAACATTAATTAAAATACTTGCTGTAAGATTTGTAGCAGTATTTTTCTCGGAAATAAATAAATACATTTTTAAAAAGATCTAATTAAGAGCTCTACATCATCCAACTGATTATATGCCAGAATTACACTATGGCTTTAGTGTTCCAATGTTGTATATCAACTGGTTTACATAACCTCTGTAGCAGTTTGAATTGACCATAACTTAACCCCTCACTCAGAAATCCATCCATAAATTGAAACATAATCCCTATTTACTGCAATCTTGTTATTAATATAGTGCGTGTTTAAATAATCATATGATGTAAGCCCATGAGATGCTTGGGGAATTCAGAACGGCAGTGTCAGGGGAGGACCATTGACGCGCTCTAATGCATTTGTTTCGCTCTCTTTCCTGAAGTCCAGCCAGCTCTTCTGCACTGATAGCTGTTTCTTATGCCCACAGGAATCACAGATAAGTAAAAGAATATGGCTAGATATGCTAAAGTTTTAATACCACTACGGGATCTGTTCTTTTCAATCCATCTATCCCAGCCATCTATGCAAAAGTTAGAACTCAGCGTGTATCAGTCCTCTCACTATCTCCCACTATCGTTCCTTCCAGAGCTGACATTTGCTTGGATCTTCAACGAATACCCCTACTTTGTACAACAAGACAGCCGGCGCTTCATCTCCCAGGAGACGGGCAGCCTGTACATCGCCAAGGTGGAGCCGTCAGATGTGGGGAACTACACGTGCGTGGTCAACAACACAGTAACCAGAGAGAGGATGCTCAGCTCGCCCACTCCGCTGGTGCTCAGGAGTGATGGTAAAGTAACTCTTCTAAACCAGTATTCGTTTTGGTGATTTGGGTTACCAGAGCATATTATGTAGTGAGTTTAATACAGTACACGCGCCTGTTCACTTAAAGATGCATTGCGCAACTTTTCTGGTGGAAGGGCTGTCACCTGCTTGTCTCCATGGAGATGTTATTGCTTTTCCTGGAATGTTCCTTGGTCTAGCCTTTATTCACTACGTTTCTATTGCTCAAAAGTACAATAATTCTCTTTGAATAGGGTTGCCTCCACAGATCTGACCTGTAATGTTGCCTGTATATTTGTCTCCCTTGAGATAAATAAGTTTAGTGTTTACTGTGGATTTTTTTTGACAAAGCAATAACATGCCCATGAAGACAAGCATATATATATATATATATATATATATATATATATATATATATATATATATATATATATATATAAAATATAAAATCAAAATACACCAATTAACCAACACACTGACTCTTCTCTTTGAATCATTTTCATCATCTACTAGTGTACATCAGTACATCAGTTCTACACCAGGTTACTTTAAAAAAAATTAACTTTCTGGAGGTGTAATGTCTTCTGCATAATTCCATGGAAATAGAAAGAGATAGATATATGGTATTTGTCATACTATGGAATATTGTAGCTAACGGAACAGGAACAACAGGTTGTCTCCATGGAAACAGGCAGGATGAGGCCCTCCTCCAGACCAAATGAACATATGTTTCTGTTTTCAGCGCAATAAAAGCAAAAAGTTGTGCATTTGACTTTTAAAGCAAACTTCATCATCTTGCAAATTGTCTTTAATTTAAATGTGCATGTATATCTTGTATGTATCAGACTTCACTTATGACTCAACACTGTCAGTTTTTCTTTACAGTTTCAGCAGCGCAACAGCTCAGATTTCACTGTTTAAATCTACTAACAAGTGTGAATGAGACTATACTGTGGCTAGGGATGGGCATGATTAGTCGATTAATTGATAATTGATCATTAAGAATTTCATCGATTACGTTAATTTTAATCGACAAACTGAATGTAAGTTGCTGTGTGTAATGTGACCAAACAGGTGTGTACATGTGTCTCTGCATCAGAAGGAACGAGACACAAACAGTGGGTCAGTCTGCAACGTACTGAAGCACAAATGTGGATTTAACGATGATTTGTACAAGACACTTTTCGTTGCATTCGGGACAAGTGTGAGTCCATGTGCACAGTGTATAAAGCAGCACAGATGTTTCTGTGTCCAGTGGGAAAAAGTTTTAACAGGTGAGAGTCGCTCAATGTCGATGACGAGTCCCCACCTCCCTCCCCCCCGTACGGTGTCCTGGTTTTGACAAACGCAAATATGTTCACACTAACCTGTATTCACCTGAGTCATGTCTTTTAATCCAACAGAAGTTGAACCACATCAGCGACACAAGAGCTGTAGTTTTATCTTCGCTTAGTTTATGCAAATTAGCGATGCGGTTTTAAGTTTTGTTTCTGTGAGAGTTGTGCAAAACTGACTCTAGAGTGGTTACGGTTTATATGTCGTAAAGTTGAATTTATTTCTGCAGATTAGTAGTGCAGATAGTAATAATAATGATGATCATTTTAATATAAAAACATTAAGGATTAATCGATAATCGATCATTAATTCTTCCGACGATCGATTAAGAAAATTTCATGGAATGCCCATCCCTAACTGTGGCTGAAGCTTTGAGTGTGAATTTTCAGTGTAGACAATACCCAACATTTCTGCCAACCGAACCATGTATCATTTGAATAAAGCAATAACAACAGGCACCATGTGGTTTAAGAGACATTTTCCTTTTAGAATACAGAGCAATTTTTCCAGTGAGAAAAGTGCACTTTGAACATTCTTGTTTTTGTGCAGATCAGCAGCACAGATCGAGCATGCTAATAAACGCTATTCAGAAAGCTGAAAACCAAATGTTTGACCTCAATTTTGGTTAGTCACCTCTTTAAAAATGTTTGGCAATAAGAAATCCCAAATAAAAACATGTCCTTGAATTGATTTTCCTAAAAACTCACATGAATAGGACTGGCTCATCCCTTTTATACCCAAAATTGTGGATTCCACTCTCCAATTGCTGTAGTCCTTTCTTTGGTTTTGCCCTTTTGTGTAGGGCCAGTAATCCTTGAGTGAAGGCTTTTGACACCACCAACCAAAAAGTTCAAAATACCAAAAACGTATAATGCATTTTTTTGTCAACTCTGTTCAATAGTTTCCTTTTCTGTTAAATATACCTCACCTAGTGTAAATATTCACTTTACATAAAACGTAAATACAAACTTCTAATTGGACACTGTGAATGGCAGAAGTCTCCTCAGCCTAAAACCTCTAGCGTGATGAATATAAATAAAGTCATAAATGAAGTGAGAAGGCATAGGTGATAAATCTGCTCTGTGCAATCCTCCTTGATGAGCTGCCTGAATCTTTTATAAGCTCTTTGATTTCTAGTCTCCAGTCATGTCCCTGCAGTGGTCACAGATGCTGAGCGCTCATAAAGACTTGACCTCTTTGCTGCCGCGCTACCGGGCCTCTTTGATCCAACATGGCGCTAGACCATGCCGTTAATCATTTATGTCCAATCCCTGTTCATCTCTCTTCTGTCTTTTGTAGGCGTAATGGGAGAGTACGAACCCAAAATTGAAGTCCATTTTCCAGATTCGGTTCCTGCCGCAAAGGAATCTGTGGTCAAACTAGAGTGCTTCGCCTTGGGAAAGTGAGTCTGTAGTTTTGTTATATATTATTGTTATTTGATGTATGTTATTGCTTTCCATTCAAGGTTCTATATTAAGCAAAATTGACTCTTGTGAGCTTTACACCCTGTTAGAATGTTCCTCATCAAAAACATACCTGGAGCTGTTTTCTGTTTGAGAGAAGAATTCAGCCTAAATATGCAGGATTTGTGTGTTCAGCATGTTCGAACAAAACAAAACACAGCTCCAAGTATGTTTTTGATTTTTACAACATAGATCCAAAAATAGCATAATATAGACCCTTTAAAGCAGCGGTGTCCATCAATATCCTTGTAGGCGTGCAAATATAAGAAACAGCAACATCAAAAATGAAAAAAAAAAACAAGAAAGAAAAGAAAGAAATGCATTTGGCTATTTGCCCAAATATAATCTGAACATCCGTCACCTGAGTGTGCAGTACATTAATACTTTGTCACTGCTATATTAAACATGACAGAAATTGAGTGTCAAAATGAATTATTGGAGCTTCTGGTACTTTTGCACCAACACATATTCTAGCAAAATTAGTTTCTTAGCAATGTCCAAGGCCATATAAAACTTTTTGGCAGTATGACAGCAACGTTTTATCTCCAGAATGAACTTTGGTTATGGTTAGCACGAGATAATGTAAAACAACAAACATGTTTTCCAAATTCAGATGTTGAGTCTGACATTATTTATTGGTACAGGCAAAGTCAAAAAGTTAATATCGTTATAATAACGTGTAAGAGAGAAATGCACTTATATACACCAGCTCTACACAGTTATGTCAGTGGTCGACTTGTCAATGATTATGGTTTTGATTAGTCCATTAGTCAAACGGATATTTCTATTGTAGATTTATATTTTCAAATACATTATCGCCGTAGGTTGAAATATAGTGTATTTTTTTGTGGACAAGCACAAGTTGTTTGTTCTTTTTTGACATTTTCATTTACTAATGCCACTGTTTTTATGTACTGGCAGTGTTGGGGAGTAACAGATTACATGTACTGGAGTTACGTAATCAGAGTACAAATTATGAGTAACTGTATTCAGTTACAGTTACTGTTTCAGTGAGTGGTAATTGGATTACAGTTACTTAGTTAAAATAAATGGATTACAGGGCGGTATTTTCCTGTTTTCATATCTGGGCTAAACCAGGACTAAACCAGGACTAAACCAGGACTAAACCAGGTCTAAACCAGGTCTAAACCAGGACTAAACCAGGTCTAAACCAGGACTAAACCAGGTCTAAACCAGGTCTAAACCAGGACTAAACCAGGTCTAAAGCAGGTCTAAACCAGGACTAAACCAGGTCTAAACCAGGACTAAACCAGGTCTAAAGCAGGTCTAAACCAGGACTAAACCAGGTCTAAAGCAGGTCTAAACCAGGACTAAACCAGGTCTAAACCAGGTCTAAACCAAATCTAAACCAAGACTAAACCAAGACTAAACCAAGTCTACACCAGGTCTAAACCAGGTCTAAACCAGGTCTAAACCAGGTCTAAACCAGGACTAAACCAGGTCTAAAGCAGGTCTAAACCAGGACTAAACCAAATCTAAACCAAGACTAAACCAAGACTAAACCAAGTCTAAACCAGGACTAAACCGGGACTAAACCGGGATTTAACAGGACTAAACCATGCCGTGGGAACCATGTCTCCTCCTCTTCTATCAATAATATTTTTAATTTGGTTGAGTAAAGACTGGGCATTTTTATTTTCTTTTAGCAGACAAAACATCTTATGTGAAGATTTCTTCATCTTTGCTTCTCTACAGCAAATTAAGTAATCCAAAGTATTCAGATTACGTTACTCACCTAAAGTGACTTAATGGATTACGTTACAAACTACATTTTGGGGTATGTAATCTGTAATCTGTAGGGGAATACATTTTAAAAGTAACCTTCCCAACACTGTGTACTAAAATAGACAATTAAGATAGTCAAAATACAACATTGATCATTGTCATGAATAGTTAATAATCATTGCAGCCCTGGCGTACACTATCTCAACGTTGTACACTTTGTATGCTCATTCATGCATGAATATTCCTTTAAGGACACATGTAAACTCTGGATTACTGTGAAACAAGGAGAACAGCAGCAGCAGAAATCAAAGTAGCTCTGAGATGACAGTGATCACAGCCTGTCTAGCCCTAGAACAATACCTCGACAATACCTTAGCTTTAGCTCCTCTCCTGCTGCGTTTAATCACACTTTGATGGCTGCTAGTGACAGATGCCATCATGGGAATATTTTCTTTTCTTCTTTGCTTCACAGCCCTGTTCCAGAAATCAGCTGGAGGAGAACCAGCGGAGTTCCGTTCCCCAGCAAAGTCAAAATGAAAAACTCTAACGCAGTCCTCGAAATACCGAATTTTCAACAGGAAGACGCAGGGACCTATGAATGTGTGGCGGAGAATCGACGGGGGAAGAATGCAGCCAGGGGTCGCCTCTCATTTCATGGTTGGTTAAACAAAACCAATGCACTAATTTTCATATAGTAGGACACAAATAGACTTTATTTGACATAAATATTCTGTTTGGTTTGATCAATTAATTAACAAAAACTTGTAATAAAAAAAATATATATATACAAAAACTATGGGTATCTACTGTCATTCAGCACAGTAAGAGCAAGGAATTACCAGTCATAAAAAGTTAACAAGAAAATGAGTTAAACTGAAATTTTACAAGCAAATGATTCATTGCAATCCTGAAAATAGCCAAAGGAAAAACAATGAAGAGCTAGCTTTTAGTTTACTTTATCACACCGAAAATAAAACTCACCAAATTAATCATCTGGGTAGTACAGTAACTTTTTGTGACAAACAAAATTACCCATAATGGTTCTTTTTTGAAGTCAAACTTAAATTACTGCTTGTCTTCAGGAGCTGTGATAAGGCTGCACTAATCCACTCCGGCTGTAATTAAAAACACATGTCTAAAAAAGGTAATCCTCTCATTTGTGTGCAGCTAAACCTCACTGGCTCCAGACCATAGACGACACAGCGCTGTCCATCGAGCAGAACCTGTTTTGGGAGTGTAAGGCCACTGGAAAGCCCAAACCCTCCTACAGCTGGCTCAGGAACGGACAGCCACTTTCAGCAGAGGTACTCACTTCATTTGGTTGGGTGCTTTTCAGTTATATATGCAGTACTATTAAATGTCCTACATTACGCATACTTGACTCTTGTGAGGTTTTAGTCATGTTAGTCTGTCTTCATTTCCAAAGCTCAAAATGCTCTGTTCCACCTAGGCCTGTAACAATAACACATTTTGCAGGACGATTAATTGACCAAGAATTTATTGCAATAAACAATAATATTGACATTTTGAGACCAATTTCAATTAATATAATGACCATGGAATAAAAATGCAAATACATCCTCTCAATGATCAATAAACCTTACTTTCTAAAGAACATTTAACACAGGAACTGTAAGACAAACAAAAACAATAGGCCTGAATAAAAGAGACTTAACACAGGACTAGTCTAATGTGTCTGGCTGACAGCGAGGACTTGTTCACAAAAATGTACTTGAATAAACCACTGCTGAACCAAACATGACCAAAGCAATAAATAAAATGGATTATTAAGTCTCTGTAACAAAATTGTCCTTAAAGGTTGTATAGAGGATTTTCCAAGGAAGGAGAAATCCAGCGACTGTTTGTCCTTTTTCAAATGGTGCACATGCGTGAAACCACCCCCCCTCCCCTACAGCTCCTACGTAGAAACGTCTCCTCCCGCCTCCTCCTTACACCAGAAACAGGTTTGTTTACAGCCGCTGCACATGACTTGTAAACAACTAACTGCAGTGTTGGTTAGGCAAGACGGAGAAGTGAGGACAGGGGGGAGCGGGTGTGCGGACATTTCGTGCGCAGACAAGAAGTGAGGAGCAGGGAGAAGAGCGGAGCAGGGAGAGAGGAGAGGAGAGAGGAGAGGGGAGCGGGGTGCGCGGAGATTCCGTGCCCGGAGAAGTGAGGAGCAGGGGGAAGAGTGGAACGGGCAGTGGGGACAGGAGCAGGAAAGGGGTGCAGAAAAGGTTGCGTGGAGATTCCGTGCGAATGAACTAGCTACAACACGCAGCAGCAAGCGGACTCTTTCTTTGCCTTGAAAATTACGTTTTCAGACATAGGATATCGCTTTCGTGTCCTGAAAAACGTTTGTCTAGTTGTTGGAAATAAAGTACGTTTTCATAATAAGCAGAAGTTTCCTGTCCAGGAGTAATTTGTCGACCAGTGCGTCAGTCTTTAGACCCTTCGTCTGCTTCAGTCGCGCCATCGCTGGAATGAATCTTCAAGAATCACCTTAGTTTGGCTTCGCTGCTTTTCCCCTTGTCTTCTTCTTTCAGTGACCTCAAAAACGGATTTTCTTTTGCGGCGAACTGCTCCTGGATTCTTGTCTGCCATTGCAACAAACTTTGTGCAAACTGCGAGGAAGATATAGGTCAAAAAAGCCGCTAAGAACTGTTGCGTTGGTGGAGTAAACAGCGTCTGTGCGGCTTGCGTCTGTGGACTGTGTGACAGTCGTACGTAAACCACGTAACAGCAGCGTGCAGGCAAGTCAGTTACACTAGAAACGTAGGGAGTTTGATTGACAGCCTGTCAGCTCACAGATAACGAGGCAGTGTCGTTATCTATTGGCAAATGTTTAGCCCCACCACGTCCAGAGTTGATGAATTTTTATTCTCTTTTTTTTGGTCATCATAATTACAAGGCTACTGCACCTCTATAATCTATCATTGACAATTTGAAACAAAAAAAATCCTCCATACAACCTTTAAAAGTGATTTTGTCACTGACTTACATTGGAATATTGTGTCTCGTCTCTCTGTGGCTGCTGCTGTGGCCTCGTCATTTTGGTCTTGAAGTGTTCGTATGAACCCGCGACACAGGATGTTATTTCGCTATGAGGGAGCCTCTGTCCTGTCTGGTGTCGTGTCAGTTTGGTTTCAGGATTTCAGACTCCTCCCGGGCTCTAGGTTAGTTCTGTCGCTCGGGTTTGGGTTTATATCGCTGTTGGGGTTTGGGACATTTCTTTTCATCGTTTGCGTTTCACTCGCTGCATTTGACGCACATGGCTGTTGAGACGTGTCCCCCTCACCAGTGTTGATTCGGCATCGTGACTTATTTTAGCGATGAATGGAGATGAACAGTTTTGTCACTGACAGCGGCGCTAGCTTGTGTTGCTAGCGCACCGCACGAACAGTGGCTTTCTGCACTCGCAGAATTTGCACTTGCAGAAAGTGTGCAGACTATGTGCGCATCCACTGTGTTGATAAACACACGTTGGTTCAAGGGTCATTCCGCTTGTTAAACGAGAGGAGACAGAGAGTGATAGAATCTTCTAACATTCAGTCTCTTTGAGAGCGAGAAAGAGAGAGAGAGAGCGAGGAAAACAAACAAGCTGCAAATAGAATTTATCGTGGCTGGAAAAGTTATCGAGCTCGTTAAAAGTTATCGTACGATTTATTGATTATTGTTACAGGCCTAGTTCCACCTTTTGATGTCACGAAGCAGTAGTTTTCAAGTTTACAGTTACCTTTTGTTTAGTAAAGATTGGAGTTTTTTTGTTTGGGAGAACACAGTGTAAATATGCAGGGTTTGTGTGCTAAACGTGTTGATGAAACAAAACAAAACTCCAGATACATGTATCTTTCTGACAAAGAAGCAACACTATAACATAGATCAGAAAACAGTGTAATATGGGCCCTAATTCAATTTGATACACTTCATCCTCTTATCCTCCACTTCTTCCGACTATCTTCATGTCCGTCATATCTTCCTTCATGTCCATGCAGGGGCAGTAACTCAGCTGTTCAGTTATCTCAATTCTCAAACATAATTTAGTAGAACGGTCAAATCCACTGGCCCACAAGGTTGGTATGCAATTCCAACTTCCACAGATGAATACTGTTGCTGTGTCCTTGGGCAAGACTCTAAACTCACCTTGCCCTCAGTGTCTGCACACACTGGTGTATGAATGTGTGTGATTTGGTGAATGGTTCCTTGATGTAAAGTGCCTTGAAGGTAGAAAGGGTTTATTCTTCTGTTATTCCTTCAATAAAACCTGGTACTATGTTGTATGTTTCCGAGCTGGGGGCCACAGAATGTTCATTTTGGTGGTGTGTGTAAAACTCACAGGAGAGTAGAATGAGACAGAAAACTCAATTTGGCCCCAAAAAATTAATAAATGCTAGTTGTGCTATGAGGATGGTGATTTTGAATTTGATCCATTCTTGCTTGAGAATGCATTGTATGGAGTAAGAAAGCTTTCAGAAATATTTGTGTGCATAGGATAGAAATCTGTGCATATTTTGTAAATCCATGCACATTTGGCTGTTGTTGATCTTAAAATAAACATTCGTAAACTCTCGAATGAGTCCGGTCGTGTAACGTGTGTTGTGTGTATTTTATCAATCAGAATACGAATTGAAAAGTTACATCATCAAGAATTACAATCACGAAATGAAAATTTACATTATCACAGTACATAAAATTTATTAAGCTTTCTTCAGTACGAATACGAATTCACATACAGTCCTGGTTCAGTCCTGGTTCAGTCCTGGTTCAGTCCGTATGTGTCGCCAGTGTTGGGAAGGTGACTTTTAAAATGTATTCCCCTACACATTACAGATTACATACACCAGAATGTAGTTTGTAACATAATCCATTAAATTACTTAAAGTGAGTAACGTAATCTGAATACTTTGGATTACTTGATTTGCTGTAGAGAAGCAAAGACCAGAATATCGTAACATAAGATGTTTTGTCTGATAAAAGAAAATAAAAAGCCCAGACTTTACTGAACCAAATTAAAAATATTATTGATAGAAGAGGAGGAGACACGTCCACGTGGCATGATTTAGTCCTGTTAAATCCTGTTTGAGGCATGGTTTAGACCTGGTTTAGACCTGGTTAAGTCCTGGTTTAGACCTGGTTTAGTCTTGGTTTAGTCCTGGTTTAGTTCTGGTTTAGACCTGGTTAAGTCCTGGTTTAGAGCTGGTTTAGTCCTGGTTTAGACCTGGTTTAGTCCTGGTTTAGACCTGGTTTAGTCCTGGTTTAGTCCTGGTTTAGTCCTTGTTTAGTCTTGGTTTAGTCCTGGTTTAGTCCTGGTTTAGTCCTGGTTTAGTCTTGGTTTAGACCTGGTTTAGTCCTGGTTTAGTCTTGGTTTAGACCTGGTTTAGTCTTGGTTTAGTCCTGGTTTAAACCTGGTTTAGACCTGGTTAAGTCCTGCTTTAGACCTGATTTAGACCTGGTTTTAGACCTAGTTTACTTTCCGGCAATGAGTGGAATTACTGAAAAAAAAAAGAAAAAAAAAAAGAATAGCCCAAAATGTGAAAACCGGACAATACTTCTGTGTAATCCCATTTATTTCAACACAGTAACTATAATCCAGTTACCACTCACTGAAACAGTAACTGTAACCAAATACAGTTACTCATAATTTGTACTCTGATTACGTAACTCCGGTACATGTAATCTGTTACTCCCCAACACTGTGTGTCGCAAAAAGCCAGTGTTTCTTCTGCTCAATAAATAATGCCTGTTCTATGATGATGTATTTTTGACAGTAAAGTCGTGTCTATGAATTCCTGTTCGTACTGATGAAAGTGTAATCATAAATTTTCATTTCATGATTGTAATTCTTGATGTTGTAACTTTTCAATTTTTATTCTGATGGATAAAATACACACAATACATTTTATATACGACTGGACTCATTTGAGAGTTCATGAATATTTATTTTATGCTCAACTACAGCCAAATATGCACAGATTTCCCAAATATGCAGGGATCTCTATCCTACACCCACAAATATTTCTTGTCTTGTCTTATCCTTGCCTTGTCTTGTAACAGTACTTCAAGAGTAATACTTTGACATGAGGCTTCACCGCTCGTCTACCTTACAAAAGTGCTCTGTTGACGCCAAGTACAACAGTTGCTCACTTCTCATTTTATAACACACTTGTAATGTGTAGGCTTGCTCTAGCTTGTTTTTGTCCTCACGTTTGCCTCATTTGCATAAGAGAGTTGTACTAAATTAAATCTTGATGAAGCTAACACAGCCGGTTAAAGCTGCTAATTTGATAAAGACTGTCAGAAATTA